AAATGTGTCCTAAACCTGAACTGTGCTTCTAAGAGCATACTGTGTGTGGTGCTATTTTTACATTTATGCAAAACTTAACCTTTTATGAGGGGAGAGAGTAATCTAAAGGCAAGGAAGTTGTCATATTGTTTTCTGTATCTACTAGCATTAACAATAGGGCCTAGAGCAATGGTTTTCAACCTTCCTAATACCGCGCCCCTTTAATACAGTTCCTCATGTTGTGGTGACTTCATAACTCTAATTTTGCAACTGTTATGAATTGTAATGTAAATATCTGATATACAGGATGGTCTTAGGTGACCCCTGTGAAAGAGTTGTTCAACCTCCAAAGGGGTCGAGACCTACAGGTTGAGAACCACTGGCCTAGAGCATAGTAAGTTCTTAAACAATTTTTAATAAACCAAACAAAAAGAAGGGAACACTTTAGGGATATGAGATAAGAGGTGATGATTTAAGTTAAAGTGTTTGAGGCAATATCAATGCACCCAAATAGAGAAATTTGAGTAAGAGAGCAAGACTTAAAGTATAAGTGGGAAATCATCATACATGGGATCATAGTTTGTGTTGATTATTAAATTTTTTTAAGCTGACATTGTGAACATATGTGTTGATTATTTCTTCAAAAGTGACGACAGTGTTAATAAGAGAACACAGGCTAATCATGGTGGCTCACACCTATAATCCTAGCGCTCTGGGAGGCCATGGTGGGAGGATCCCTTGAGCTGAGGAGTTAACCTGAGCAAGAACAAGACCCATTTCTACTAAAAGTAGAAAAATTAGCCAGGTATTATAGTGAGAGCCTGTAGTCCCAGCTACTTGGCAGGCCAATGCAGGAGGATCTCTGAACCCAGGAGTTTGAGGTTGCTGTGAGCTAGACCTACACTATGACACTCTAGCCAGGGGCAACAGAGTGAGACTCTATTTCAAAAAGAAAAGAAAGAACACAGATCAAGGATTGATATTTGAGGAGTACCCTCAGTGGGTGAGAGAAAGTAGAAGAGGCCCTCAAAAATGGTCAAATGAAGCAGAAGTAAAGAAGATAAACTGAAGTATTGAGGGGGTATAGGGAGAAAAGAAGTATACAAATAGGATTTAGAGTCATGGGGTGTCAAATTTTGCAGACTAGTTAAGAAGAGTGAGAACTGTGAATATTTTCTCAATTTGCCAACTAAGTTGTATCTGGTGACCTTTGAAAAGTCAAGTAAAATAGAAATTTATTTTCATCTTTAAAAATTAGCTTATAGGACAAAATAAGTTTGTTCTCAGTTCTTATACTTAGAAAAATATACCCTTTATCTGTGTTCAACTAGGACTTTTCCCAAAAGGTGTGATTTTCTTTATTGGGGAGTAAAGTTCAGCTTGGTTAAACCAGTAACCAAGGGGGTCTTGTTCTTGCTCAGGTTAAATGTTACTTTGAATTCACATTCTTTTTTTTTTTCTTATTATCTATTTGTCTTTTTCTTTGTAAGCAAAATCATATGTAAATTACTTGAAACAGAATATTTCATTTCTCTCTTGATGTGTTAAGCATTATTAATTGCTAAATTATTTTGTAGGCCAGAGATAATTATTCTTAAGGAGTAGCATGGCTCAGCACCTGTGGCTCAAGCAGCTAAGGCTCCAGCCACATAAACCTAAGGTGGCAGGTTCGAATCCCCAGCCCAGGCCCGCCAAACAACAATGATGGCTGCAACTAAAAAATGGCCAGGCATTGTGGCGGGCGCCTGTAGTCCCAGCTATTTGGGAGGCTGAGGCAGGAGACTCGCTTGAGCCCAGGAGTTGGAGGTTGCTATGAGCTGTGATGCCATGGCACTCTACCCAGGGGGATAGCTTGAGGCTCCATCTAAAAAAAAAGGAGTAGCAAGCAGAAAATCATAACTAAACTCATTTCATTTTGCCAAATTTTGATTATATCACTAATTTTCAAAAATTTTCCAACCATGAAAGAAAGCCTTTCCTTCTGAAGCTTTTACATGGAACCCCAATTCGTGAATTAGATAAAGTGGAGTTTGTTTCAAGCTATGATGGGTTGTGAAGCCCCTCCTGTGAGTTGGGTCTAGTCCTGTAGCCTCCTTCTCTTTCCCTTTATACAACCAGTGCCCCCTGGGGCTTTTCTATAGACGTTCCAGGGCTACTTGAACCATACTTTGAGATTCACTTATAATGTAATACTCTTTGCAGAAATGCTATTAGCAAAACATTTGAGTACTGCAAGTGACAAGATATTAAGAGCCCAAATTAGTTGACATTTTCATTCTGTTCTTTTATTGGGCAACAGAATGATACAACAATAAATAGTTGCCTAAAGAACAAGTAGAATTGTACTGTATCTATTTAGATAGAGATTGATGTCCTCCCTTAAGAGGAGTTCCTTTGTCTATGGGAAGTTAAACTGCTTTCACATCTGCAATGTGTTCCAACGCTGATGATTCTTTGGTCTTGTATGTCTAGATTAATGCCACCTGGTAGATAGCCTCCACTGTGATGGGAGTCTATTTTATCTTTCAGTTCTTCACATTTATAGTATGCCATACATGAAAGGTAGTGTGTTGGGATACAGGAATACTATTTAAACAATTAAGACACAGCCAACCATTAAGGAAGTAGGAAATTACTATAAGATTTGATAATCCCAGTAATAGAAGTAAGCAGAGGGTATTAACAGGAATCATTTGAAGGGGAAGGCTAGCTTCCCTGAAGATACTTATTCCTTAACTCTTTAATAAAGATGAGTACACTTTAACCAGAGATGAACAGGGAAAGAAATTTTTTTCTAGACAGAGGGAAGAACTCAAACAGAGGCTCTAAAAGAGGGCATGCTTTCTTGGAGAACTGGAAATAGTTTAGTGCAGCTGGAAGCCAGAATGTGAATGGGGACTGGAAAGAGAAGCCAGATGAAGAAAGATTATGTTTGCCCTGGTAAGCAGTTTGGACTTGTCTTGAAGGTGATGTTAAGCAATTGAAGGATTTGGGGCAGAGTAGTTGAAGGATTTTAGTCAGATGGGGGTGGTGGAAGCAATGA